ATATATTGTATATATATATATATATATATATATATATATATACATGTGTGTGTGTGTGTATATGTATATGTCTTACTTATCTGAGATGATAATAACTGCGGTTGAAAATGGCATCGAAGAGCAGCAAGATATCCATCTTGATAATCTTTTAATGTGTCTTTATAAGGTTGGTTCTGTAGAGGTTGCGTACCAGTTAACTGTAAATCTGTTGATATATCAGCTTGTATCTGAACACCAGCACTAGTTACTTGAAGTGAAGGCAAAGTTGGTAGCACAGGATTGGTAAAATATTCTTGAGAAGTATAAGGACTGGTTGTTTGTTGAACTATTTGCGTAGTTTGCAAATGTTGTTGTTGCTGTTGTTGTTGCTGTTGCTGCTGTTGTTGTTGTGGCTGCTGAGAATCCTTACCATTTGTCACTTCTAATCTTTTCAGTTCAAGTTTTTCTTGATCTTCTGTCGCTACTTAATAAAAATAATATATATAAGTTGATATGTGAAAAAATTGCGAAAAAAAAAATAGATTAAAATCTTTTTTAAATATTTACCATCAACAGTATCGTCAAAGCTAATAGATCGAAAAATTTCAAAAGCATCATCTAGAGGAATATGCGTGCCATCTTCTAATTTTATAACACTTTCACTTGTACAGAGAGCCTTTGCCTTTTGAGCAGCAGCAACAAAGGGACAAGCTCCATCTCGATGTAATCTTGCTAACTCGGGATCAGCCTGCTCCGTTAGATTTTGTTGAGTTGTTTGCTGCGCGTAATTTTTATATACATATGCATACATATTTATAACTGTGTGTACATATATGCATATACACACATTATCAAATAAGAAATAATGAGTGATTACCTGATCATGAAGATGATGAGTATGTGTAGGATGAAGATGTGACATTAACTGAGTGGGCATAAGTATATTATTCCCATTAGCAGTTACTACTCCAGTTTGTTGCTGTGATTGCGATTGCTGTTGTTGAGATTGCTGTTGTTGTGGTTGACCTTGCTGTTGTTGCGGTTGCGTTTGCTGTTGCTGTACCTAATCAGATATCAATATATAATTTGATGCATGTATTAATGTTAATATATTAGAACAAAAATGAAAATTGAAATAAATAAATAAATTAAAATAAAAATAAAAAAGAAAAGATAAGAAAATAGAATGAAAAATAAAATAAAAAAGAACAAACCTGTACTTGGTCTAATTGTAATTGCAATTGCTGATTAAGTTGTTGCAGCTGATGCACTTGTTGAACTTGGTAAGTATGTTGTCGTTGTTTTTGCTGATATTGTTGTTGAAGACCAGCCATCAAATTAGCCTGTTGTTGCTGCTGCTGTTGTTGTTGTTGCTGCTGTTGTTGCAATTTTCCAGCCATTACACTAGATGAAGCTTTCCGAATGTTCTTGCCTTCTTTTTTAGAGACAGGCTTTGCTTTCGGGCGATCACTTATAGCAGTACTCTGGCTAACATCGCTACTTGTGGTAATAGGTTGAGAAACTGACATAACAGTAGGAGGCGTGGATATGCTTGGAGGACTCGGTGTAGTTGCTGAAGATGTATTTGAAGTAACTGATGGAACGGACGACGTAACAGGTATTGTCGCAAGAGAAAGGGGAGGAGAAGTAGGAAAAGCATTTGTCGTAGGAAAAGTTTCTGATATAGTTGGAGCTAAAGATAACTGAGCTTCTTGTGCAATTCGTTTTCCTCTAAGAAATGCATTATACAATGACATTGCCTGGCTAGTGCCTTGATGAGTTAATGAATTTCCGGACATGCCACTTGTACTGCAAACTAAACCTTTGAACCAAAATTACCGATCATTATTTAAAATATTTCGTATTTAACAGAAATTATAAATAATAAAAATTAAAAAAGAAATTTCAATATATACCTGATGACAATGTATCCGGTTCATTAGAATCCTCTTGTTGCTGTTGTTGCTGTTGTGTTACAACTGGATTTTTTGCACTACAAAACCAATGTCCTGGACCCTTAATTTGAAGTTCTCTTTCTACCCTCTACAAATATTTATAAAAATATTTTAAAAATATTGAAAAAAAATGATCAATAATAAATTTTCGATGATTAATATTCATGTTTCAAATAATTAATACTTACTTGTAATTCTTCGAAAATTTGTTGTTTATGGAGAATTTGCTCTTGTCGAGTATTTTTTCGACTTTCTGAGACATTCAATCCTGGTGTTGGCGCAGGAGCAGGGCTAAGACTAATATTAGGTTCTGAAAGATTAGTAAATCCTCCACTGCCTTTATCCAGAATATTAGTATCATCTTTAGTTGTTACAATTGATTCTCCTGCGGGTTGAGAACGGACTTGTTGCGCCTCTGCAGAAGTAAGACTCATATCTGGCATCATTGTTACAGATCGATTTTTTCTTAATAATGATTTTTGTGTATTATGTTTAGGTTGGAGATTTTGCGTTTGTGATTGATCTGCAGCATGTTGTTGCTGTTGTTGATGCGATTGTGGTTGGGTAGATGCATGTTGTTGATGGGGCACATGTTGTTGGTGCGTAATATGCTGTTGTTGCTGTGGATGTGATTGTTGTTGTTGTTGTTGTTGTTGTTGTTGTTGTTGCTGCTGCTGCTGCTGCTGTTGTTGTTGGGGAAGCAACATAGGTGTAGGTGTTGCATTATGCGGTGTACTCATCATAATACTGTGAGGATAATCCAACAGGAGTTGAACTACACTAGTATGTCCACCTTTTGCAGCTTCTATTAACATTGTAGAATTATCCTATAACAAAATTCAAAATTTTCATAATGATATCAAAGAATTTAATAGAATTATTGTGCTGAGCTCAAGAATTTTGAAGAAATATGTATGTAATTAATTGGAACACTAATCTACTCTTGCTTAAAATAGCTTTCGTCATATGTATTTTGAAAAATTGAGAAAAATTAATTTGATGAATAATAAAAACAGAATGCATTGAAATTAGGAAAATAGAGCAATATGAGCAATATGAGCGATTAATGAATCAAAATCAAACAGAACAAACAAAGAATTCTTTTTATCTCTATGCCTTAATTGTAAACCTCTGAGCTTTGCATATTATATAGTACATACCTTAATTTATGAAATGGATTAGCAGACTGTGCAAGTAACAGTTCTACAACTGCCAAATGCCCACCAGCACATGCTAGTGAAAGAGGAGTATGATCGTTATTCGTTGTTTGTCTATTAACATCTGCACGCTTTGATATAAGAAATTGAACTGTACAGAGGTGACCAGCTCTACATGCTTTCATTAGCGGTGTTCTTCCTCCTTCTGATTCGTGCTCCTATATATATATAAAATAAAAAGAAATTTGTAAATATCATAAAATTACTATAATCAACATATGTACATTATTTGAATTTAAATAAGACATACTAAATCAGCACCAAATTGAAGTAGAAGATCCGCAACATCAGTATGACCATTTTCACAAGCATAAGTTAATGCAGTATCTCCTGTTTGTGTTTGAGCATGGACATCTGCTGCAGATTCAAGTAAATAACGAACAAGTTCTAAATGACCTTCTTGTGCAGCTTCCATTAAAGGAGTAGAAGCACCCAATTCGATATCAGCTCCTGCTTTAATCAAAAAATCTGCGACTTCTAAAAAGCCACCACAACAGGCTAAAGTAAGCGCTGTTTCTTGTGTTTCCTCAGTTTGAGCATTGATGTTAGCTCCTATGTCAAAATATATATATTTTATTTAAAAATTTCTTTGCTAATTATATCTCAATTCATATAAAAAAAAAGAATTGATGTACCTTGACTTAAAAGCAAAGCAACCATTTCTTCGTGACCTTCACGAGCTGCTTCCATTAATGGCGTATAACCTTCATCATTTACTTCCTCGATATTTGCTCCTCGTTCGATCAAAAGCATAGCAAGATCGACGTGACCTCCACAAGCAGCCAAAGTTAATGGAGATTCAAAACTGTCTGTTGGCATATTTACTTGCGCACCTGAATCTAAGAGCAAACGAGCTACTTCTACATGACCATCCATTGATGCTTCCATAAGGGCAGTGTGCATTTCATCAGTTTTGTGCTCCTATAATATAAAGTGTTTCAATTTGTTATTCGATTTCACAAGGCAACATAATGACAAATAAATACCTGGTCTGCACCAGCTTCTAATAAGAAGCGAACCATTTCCAAATGTCCTTTATAACATGCCAGTGTTAAAGCAGATTCTTTAAATTCATTGGAATGAGTATTAATTCCAGCGCCATGTTCCAACAAGATTTTAGCTACTGGAACATGTCCAGCACTAGCTGCTTCCATTAAAGGAGTATGACCGTTTTCATTGTGATCTTCAACATTGGCACCTGCTTCTAATAATACTCGCACTACCTCCTCATGACCACCCGCACAGCCATACATAAGAGGTGTATTACCTAAAAATATAAAAATATAAAAAAATTTAACTTGTCTTAAGTATAATATATCATATAATATATTATAAATTAAAATATTATTTTTTTATTAAACTAAAATTATGAAATTAATTGATACTATATGAATATACATTAATGATATAAAATTATAAATATGAATATTCAAATTATGTTCTATACCTGAAGTAGATTGAGCATTAACATCAGCTCCATGAGCAATAAGCAAGCTTACAACATCTACATGCCCTGCACTGGCAGCTTCCATTAAAGGGGTACAATCCCCCTTTATACCACGATCCTCTACGTTTGCACTCATTGCCAAAAGTACCTATTTGCATAAAACGTTATTCAAATAAAACATTTATAACTAATTATTATTTTGTATATATAATCCATTATTTTGTATATATATTATATATTATATATATTAAATATATTATATATTATATATATCATTTTATTTTTCTGCAATATCAGAATCATAAAAGGAAATCATAAAACTCAGATATAACTAGATCAAATAATATTTTTATATATATTTTTAATATATCATATTAATTAATATATCATAATATTTTCTAATATTGTATTACATATTATATCATTTAGGAACATGAAACAAACATAAATATTAATTTCATGATAATAATAATATTCACTATAATATAAATATATATGAGAAGTATAAAGCAGTTAAATAAAATATCATTTAAATATATGCATACGCACATTAATATATTTCAAGAAGTGTTGAAGTTAAAAAAAATAAAAGATCAAATAGAATTCAAACCTGAGCAAGTTCGTAATATCCAGCTGAACAGGCGAGGGAGAGCAAACTCTCTCCCTCCTCTGTAGTTTCGTGAACACTGCGTCCTTCTGTTAATAATTTTTTAACAGTACCTACGTCCCCGTCAGTGCAAGCCTCTACAAGAGAGCGCTTTTCGTTTTGTGTGCGTGGATTATCGCTGCGCATACGAGTCAATGCAGCTGCTGCTTCATCTAATGCACAAGAAACACTAGATGTTATGCGACGGAGCACTTCGTGATCAGGCAAGTGCTTCCCATCGCCTGATGACAACTTGCCAATACCAGCTACTTCCAGCAATGATTCTAATCGAGCCTGAGTTTCGGGATCCACAGATCTCTCTGGATCTTCAGAAGTTAACAGAAGCTTGGATGACTCTAAATGATGACCTTCGTCTAATTCAACCTGATCAATTGCAAAACACTCCACCTGCAAATAACAAAACAATATTTCTTCTAATTTAATATTTAATTAATATTTAATTTAATATTTTTTCCAATGCAATTAATTCATATATAAACAGATTGAGTCTAATAAAAATGTAATAATATAATTAATTTTAATCTAACATAAATTTATAGATAATTTAGATTATATTAATTATTTTAATAAATTGAATAAGCTCAATTTTATCTTATATTGTAGTAATGTCTATTATAGTATTACTTTTTTTATTTTATAAATAAATTATAGTAATGTAATTACATTTTCTCACTATTCTATATTAATTTATTAAAATAATAATAAGAGCTTGCTTTACATACAATATAATATTAATATTATAGTATTTTATATTATTTTATACTTACACATAAATTAAACTGATTATATAAAAAATTATATACTTAAAACTAAAATTTTGTTTCACTTATCTTAACAGAAAAAATATGAAATTATAAAAATTAACCCAAAGATTGCTGAGTCATTTTTCTTGAATATATTCATTTTTCATATTTTTTATAATTGATTTGTAAAATAAACTTTGAAAATTACTAATTAATAGATCAATCATATATTTTATCAATATGAAGAATTAATCTTTTATGCAACGAATATTTATGATTAATGTTTGGCGATTATTGCATTATTTGAGGTTATTGTGTAACACAAAATCCCTTTCACCTTATCAAAAGAAAAAAAAAAAAGGTAAAGCGAGGGAAAAAAGATAAAAAAATGAAGGAGAAATTATATACAAATATACAAGAAACTTTCTGAAAAATTGTAGTAAAAACAAATATTGTTGTAAAAAAATATTTATTAAACATGGAGGAAAAATAAGCAATAGAAATACAGTTAAAGTTTTGCGAAGTATGGAAATTGTATAAATAAAAAAAGAAGTGTCCTTGTAATATGCGAAATAATAATTTCAAATTATAGTTCTTAACGTTTTTAAAAATAAATTATAATTCCTAGATCATTTAAATTATAGTACGTACATCTCGTGTAGAGGTCATATCCTCTTGCGCGACGAGTGGAAACCAATGAGACATAAACGTAAATCAGAATGTAGGTGAAAGTATTTTGTTCTTGTAAGTGATTAAAACGGCTTGCTACTGAACACAAAGGCATAAGAACAATGTGCAGCCATTCCAAGAAGGACGAAACTGACACTTCCTTGCTATACTCTTTGCTTGCGTACTAAACGCGTTCCGTTTGTTTTATCGAAATCAAAGTAAGGAGAAAACGTCGAGTATTCACTAATCGTGTGAGCACACGTCGTACTAACCAATATAATTGTTCGCACAAAAAAATTGTGAAAAAAAAAAGAACTCCGTATAAGAACCGCTGGTAGAATATAGAATAATATGGTGGCTCTGCTCTCTACAATTTCCACGCCACGAACACGAGCGACATAGGAGAGCCGAGTAGCCGGCAGGTACAGGAGCAAGGATAGAGTTGAAATCTCGATGACAGTATAACAGGAAGAGTTAAGTGTTACAATAAGGTAAGAAATACACCTATGAACGTATAAAGAAGGTAAAGAAACGACCAAGCAGACAAACAGGCTCACGAACTCGCACGAATACGCGAGAAACGCGGCCGAAGAGAACTCCGCTGGGTGGCGCACAACGTAGTGCAAGCGGACGTAAAATAGCTCTACACATATACAGGTATGTGTATAGCAAGAGGCATATGCGAAAGTTCGCGCGGGCGAACGTACTACATGCAGAATTACTAGTTCAATGAAAAGTGTATACATACGTGCGCGCGCGCGCGCATATGTGTACGTTATGTATATATGTATAAACATATATATATAAACATCTACTTGTATAAATATATACACGGACGTACACGTGCGTGCGCACGCGCTTGATTATGCAGTGCAGTTAACCGGAATGCTTTATTCAGCATTTGCACATATACGTTTGTAAGGTACGTGAGATTATAAAAATGAAATAAATTAAAAATTATACGAACGTTCTAATCGCTAATATTATATATTTTATATAATTTCATTTAAATCAATATCAAATACTTGATAGTCAATAATTTAAAAAAAAAACTAATAGAAAATAGATCACTAAGTAGAAATTCAAGAAAATTAGTATATTTTAAAAAATAAAAAAATTGCATGATTTTTTTTTCAAATTGTAATATATTATGACGTTCCCTTATGTATTAACGCATAGATTACGATTATATAACATTTCTGCGTAAATTTATCTTTCTTCCTTTTTTTTTTGTTAAAAAAATTATATAAAATTTATTTTATATTAATGATTAACTTAGCGAAAATATTACCTGATCATATGCTCGGAATTAAATTTAAATTTTGCAAAAAGACAGTTAAATTTTTTTTACACTACTTTTTTAATTTTATAAATCATTCATTGATTTTTAACTACCAACATATTCTTGGTTACAAAACACTAGTTAATTTTGCTATTGTTTTCCACATGACAATACATGTTAGGTTATAATTTCATAACTTTTAATAGGTATAGTTTCAAGTCGTAGTTCAAGTAGTTTCTTTTTAAATATTATTTATTATAGTATAAATACAAAATATATAAAAAAAAATCAATAGATATTCTGATATTAAAAAATAATATGCAATAACAATAATCGATCTTTTTTTACTACTCCTACTTTTTAAAGTACTTAAATGATAAAGTACCTATATGGATTTGCAATAAAATTAGATGTCAAATAAGATTAACATTGATTCCAATAGATTTCATCAAAATTTGATATATACGTATATATACATGACGTATGTATTATACATACATATACAAATAAATACAAAAGAAAAACAGGGAAGAGCAAAAGCAAATATATAAGAAAGGAGAAGAGAAAAGACGGGAGGGGGATAGTAACTGGATGGACGACAGAAGCGACAGCAAGTTCATGCGTGTGCGTAAATTCGTACATGCGTGCATTCAACCTCTCATCGCACAAATATCTTATTCACGATGTGGCATATATTTTTGACATGGTTTACCTCTGAAACACTGTCCTCTTCGCTCTCCGACGAGTCTGCCATAAAGCGAGGCTGCAGTTCGGAGAAGGTTTCGGTCTCTGACTTCGTAGGGCTGGAATTCGAAGACTGGGGAGTCGACGACGTCTTTCCAATGTCGTGGTGAACGCTTGCTGATTTCTCGTGCTTCTGACTATCCGAGGTCGTTCCTTGTGCTACATTCTGCATCTTTACCTTCCAGATGAATCATATGATACTAAGGTATCGTTCCCGTGTTACAAAACACACACAGAACACTTGCTTTTCGACAATAATCTTGAGCACGATCGCCGTCATTCACGTAAGCTAACACCCGCCATTTCTACTATGGCCGACAACCTCCCGGATGCCTCTTCGACCATCTATATGATTGCATACGATTCGACATGCCATCTTTCGTTTTCCGTGGCGGGTAATTTCAATTTGCTTCTTCACGAAATTCTTGTTCAATTAGTATATAATATATATTATTATCATTTATTTATTCATGCAGATTAATATATTTATTTCCAACAAAAATATAAGATATAGATAATTGTGATGCAAATTAAAAACAGAAAAAAATAAAAAGATAAAATAATTTTGAAAAAAGATAATATATTAGCTTAAGTACATTTAATCTAATTATGTATATATAATAATTTTTTTATTTAATAATAAAATAATATTGGGGAAAAATGTATTATTTATTTATAAATATTACTAACAATAAATTTTATAATTATTTTATAAAAAGCATTCAATATCAATTTCTAATACGGAACAAGGTATATTTAATTCAAATTTTGAAATTACATCTGGATGTAGAACTCCCATTTTACCAATTACT